AAGATGGTGATGATAAGAAAAGGAAGAGCAGAGGAGAACAAAGAAAGTGGAGGAGGTACATGCTAAAGTTCCCTCCTCTATGGGCTGAGGATGCATTTGCTTGGCAGAGTGCTTGTCTGGCATGCATGATGCCCTGAGTTTACTCCCAGAACCCAATAAAAAGGATGTGATGTAGCACACACCTAGAAAAATACTTATGTTGAAAATGATACTGAAATAACACTCACCAAAATAATAACATGATAACATAGAGTTTATTAAAGAAAAATGAACTGTTAATATGACACCATAGAATACTGGGGATTTTAAGTATGGAGGGTCTAGCTCCTCTTTCTGTCTCTACCACTGGCCAAAAGAATGTCATCATTAAGACCCCAGTCTTTGTAACAGACACACCATGACTAAAGCCCACACAACCATCTTAGAACACAGCGGCCTAGAAGAGGTCTGACCTTCTTGAGCCACCAGAGAAGCTTCCAAAAGTCACTCCAGAGGGCTTGCCAGCTGCTGCCTCATGTGCATGGGGTTGGACCTTATGGAGCTGACACGGCCTTTAGCAGCTGGATTTGAGTCAGGCTCCAGGCTCATCCACAACACACTTGAGAGAGCCGAACTGGTTAGTTTTGGGCTTCACTACAAGATATCACTACCACGTGGCATTTAGAGCCATCTGTCTGGACCAACTGCTCTTTCTTCTTGCCTGTTCGATATGCTGTGCCTTGAACATAATTAAAGTGTCCTCTGTGCACTCTCTGCTGGAAACATGGTCCGTGATGTGGTTGTGTTGAAAGGTGTCAGAGCCCTTGGGATCTGGAGCCTAATGAGAGGCATTGGGTCTTTAGGGCAGATCCACAGAATAGGTTAATCCTGGTCTCACAGAGAGGTCTGGGATCGCGGAGAATGGATTATTATAAAAAAAAAAAAAAGGCCAACCTGTATGGTTAGTATCTACTGCATGTGATTGGTTTTCCTGTTCTCTACTGTATTGTGACACACAAGAACGGTCCCTATCAGAGGTTGGAAGAATTGGCTGCTTGATCTTAACTGTCAATTTCACAATTATGATCTGAATAAGCCTTTAATTTATAAGGAACTTAGCCTCTGGACTTTTGTGGCAGAAACAGAAAACAGATAAAGACATGAGGGGACTTTCTTTTGCCTGCTTCATTGAATCACTTCACTTTATACCGTCCTTAGCATAGCTTAAGCCAGTTCATCCCCATGACCTGAAGATTAAACGCCTGCCTCTCCCCTGACACACTGTGACCTCATCCACCTGGCTCCACTCTTCCCTAGCACCAACTGCTGCTCAGGAATGGCTTTTTCTAGAATGTCATCATTCTAGAAAGTCTTTGTGATTTGTTCAAATCCTGCTACTTACATGAGTTTGTTGAGTTGAACTCCCAAACAATCTTAAAATTCCTATTGCTTTGCTTGTATCCAATATCACCCAGGTGAGCAGATAAATTTGTCAAGTTAATTTTTATGATTTCATTCTATATCTGCAAACAGACTCTCAGCTTCTGAGGGCCAAGGAAGGCAGCTTGGCTCCCTGACATTGCCACAAACATTGGATCGTTGATATGAATGGTTCTTTAAGGAGCTCTGTAGAGGGCAGGAATTCCCTGCCCAGTGCATATCACCTAGCCCCTAGGAACCTTGTTTGCACATGACATGATGACTGTCCCTACAGGGAAAAGATGCAGCATGCCTGCTATCATGACAGGATGTCACCAGCCCTCACTGTGAGTTCTGGGCATAAGGGTGCTGGGGGAGGTGGCACTTTCTACAGTGATGTACTGTTCATAAGTTGTTCACATGACAGTAAATAGCCCCTACATCCATCCTTACTCAAGCAACCATAATTACCTCTAAATAGGAATGACCTTTAGACATAGAGACATGGACAGCAAAATAAGAAAGGAAGGAAATAGATTTTCAGAGAAAACAAAAATATTGAATAGGATGCTAAGTGGAACTGTCTGGCATGTGTGAAGCACATTCGAAAAACACTTATGGCCAGATGTGCCACACATCTGTCAATCCAGCACATGTGATGTTAGCTCAAAAGGATTATTAGCCTGAGAAGAGAAGGATGATCTTATTCCTCCTCCCCCCAAAAATGACATTGTCTCAAATTTTAAAATTCAAATGAATACACCGTTGGTCCAGGTGGGTGATATCTTAAAAAACCAAGGGGGAGCAGGATTGTTGCCACTAAATCAGCTCTAAACCGGAAGTGGGGCCCAGGATGCTGAGTGGTTCCTAGTAAAGAAGTGGTAATTAGAGATGAAATCTCTCTTGTGAAGACTGTAAAAGATGGTGTCAGCATCAGCTCCTTGAATGGCCCATGTGTTACATAAACAAAAATAAGCATTCCCTACCTACCCCACCTCCTGACCTGCCTCTCCTCCCCTTTGTTCCTGAACACAGCAGGCTAATGCTAATCCCTTGTGCTGGCAGAAGCAAATCTAATCTACTGCTACATCTGAGGTTTTTCTTTCTCTTCTGGACCAAAGAGGAAAATTGTAAGCCCTTGGCACACATCTCAACACCTCGACTCTTTTCACATTACAAGCACAGAGCCACACCCAATTCCAACATGTCAACCGACCTGTGCACCATCCATCACCAATCAGCGCCTCACCTTCCACTCAGCAAACTACCCACCTGAACCTACTGCGTGGAAGGAGTCCCTTGCTTCTCCCACTAAGTGACCTCCAGGAGCAAACACAGGGCTAGGCCATAGGACACAGACCCTGTGCGTGTCTCACCCGCATGAAGGAGTTGAGCAGGCCTCCTCTGTCCATCTGCAGGAGGTTCCCCAAGAGGGGCAGGGGACGAGGTCCTGGAGGGAGATGTCCACGAGCCTTTGGGTGACCCCTGATCAGGAGCAGTAAGAAGCTCACGAGAAGAACAAGGAGGAGCAGGACACTGGTCTCCATGGTCCTGGTCTGTGTACTGTCCACTTGACTACACACTCCAGCGGGACTTTTATGCTGGACCTGCCTCTCCACTCAGTTGCGCAACTTCAGTTATTTCTGCCTCCTGTCTCATCATTGTCCTGTGGTGTTAGTACCCATACTTCCTGCTTGGGCTGTCGGTGACCTGCTCACTCCCTGTTTCGTAGATGCTGGCAAGGACAGCGAAACAGGTACCTAGGACAAAAAATATAGTGAGTCAAGCATCTTGATTTCAGGGGTTTATGCACGCATTCAGCTCAGCTTTCTCTGTATATTTACACAGGAGTGAACTGACTGTGTGCTGCATATGTGAAGAGATATTTCTTATGTGAGTGTGCATGTCTGTGCCTTTGTGTGTTTCTCCTGATTTGTGTGTGTATGTTGTTGTTGTTGTTGTTGTTGTGGTGGTGGTGGTGGTGGTGGTGGTGGTGGTGGTGGTGGTGGTGATGGTGTGTCTGTATTGGTTGGTTTTTCAAGACAGGGTTTCTCTGTGTAGCCATGGCTGTCCTGAAAAGCACTCTGTAGACCAGGCTGGCCTCCAACTCAGAAAACCTCCTGCCTCTGCCTCCTGAATATTGAGATTAAAGGTACATCTTCGCATTGGGAATCTATTCTGTTTGTTCTTAGTTTTGCGTGTGACTCGAGTGACAGGAGTACAGTTGTATGTTACCGTGTTTCTCTGTGTGTTTGTACATAGCCCAACCACAGTGCTGATGTGATTTCTCCAGAGTCCCCATGTCACTCTCTGGCATGTGACAACCACAGATGGGAGAAAGTGGAGAAGTAAGGAGATAGAAGGTGTGAGGCTCAGCAGTCAGGTGGAGAGAGAGGCTCCAGCCTGGCAGAGGAGCAGTTGGAGCCTCTGGGTCTCTGATCACTGTAACTGGTGATCACTTCCTCCTCTAGGCTGTCTCACAGCTCCTGAAGCTCTCTGGCCTTCCCCCTGACCCACCTCTCTAACGGGGTCTCTATCCCCTGTGGACTCAGAGCTTCAGGGTGCTGAGACTGTCTAACTCTGTTTCCTACTGCGGCAGAGTACCAGGGAGCAGAACATTATCATTAGGAGACATTTCACATTGTGCTTCTGGAAGCAGTTATTTCCCAGAACACCGCACTGGCGTCTGGTGAGGCATTTGCTGCTGCATTATAACATGTCAGGGGACAAGCAAGTGCACCTAAGACTGGGAGAGCTGAAAAGGAAACTGGACACTCCATAGAGGACCCGCTCCTATGACAATGGCGTCAATCCAGGCACAAACTGTCGTGGTTAGAATGTGAAGGACCTTCCACGACTCCATGTGTTTGAATGCTTGATCTCTAACTAATAGTATTTTAGGACGTTCTCAGACTCTTGGTAGGAAGTTACTTGAGGGAACCTTTCCCTCACATCCTCCTCTCTCCCCTCTCACCTGCCACATGCTCACACAGCAAACCTAGGGGTTCAGCTGCCTCGCCTTCCTGTCTTGAAACTGACCCTAAATAAATCTTTCGCATTTGCTTCTAAGTAGATATTTAGCCACAGTGACAAAGCAACTAACACAAAACATAAGTACCAGGAGTGAGGTGGTTATATAATAAACTCACCATTTACTTTCTTCTTTTAAATTCTTTGGTAGTTTGATCCCCAGCATTGACATGGGAAATTGGGACTAATCACATATCAGTATCAGAAAATGAGTTGCATGTGGGAGAGAGAGACAGCGGCCGGCTATGAATATTAGCCTAATCTAAGTAACTTGTTATACCAGCCACCCCGATCTTTAAATATTGTACAACTCTCAAAATATCGCCACCAACTAAAGACCAACTGATCAAATAAGTAAGCCGGAAAGGAACATTCCACAACCAAAATATAACATAAAAGCAATGCCTGAATCACATTTAAAACATTTCATTTCTTCTTTTGTTGTTGTCTTAACTTAACTGTATTACAAAACATAACACAGAGAAATTGACCAGGTCCACAGTCTATACATGGCAGTGAACATCTACTCACTTCAGATGGGCATTACAAAGCTGTAGAGCTTCACATTGTCATTTTATTCTTTTGTTTGTTTTGTTTTGTTTTGTTTGTTTTTTAAGACAGGGTTTCTCTGTAACTTTGGAGCTTGTCCTGGAACTTGCTCTGTAGACCACTCTGCCCTCAAACTCAGAGATCCACCTGCCTCTGCCTCCTAAATGCTAGGATTAAAGGTGTGCACCACTACTACCCAGCCCTTTTTTTAATTTTCATTTTATGTATATAAGTGTTTCATCTGAACACATTTGTGTTCAACACATGTATGTCTTGTGCACAGAGGTTAGAAGAGGGCACTGTATGTTCTCAAATTAGAGTTATAGATGGCTGTAGCCATCATGTAGATGCTAGGAACTTAACCCAGGTCCTCTTCAAGAACAGCAAGTGCTCTTAACTATTGAACCCTCTCCCCAGTTCACATATTACTTCTTAATGTAGCTATAATGGCATTTAAATTTCAATTTGAATTTTAAAGAGAATAGTCAACAATTAGCACTCTGTTTCTGCTCCTTCCAATATAACCCACCCTATCCTCTAAGATAAAAAGCATTCATTCTATCCCAATACCCTAAACTCTAAATTGAATTAAAGCCTTTCCCGTAGTTCACCACCTTTTTTTTTAAATAAATTTGTTGGTCGCCATTCAATTGTAAACTACAAACTAGTATAAATCTGGAGAAATAAAGTCAAATGCATATCTGTGTCTTGGAAGAGAACCTTTATTCTCTATGCTATCTTGACATTTTGACAAAAGAAGTGATGAGAGATGAGGAACCTAGATGGACGTGTTGAGTCATCTGCAGGGAAGAGGAAGACGGTCAAGAAACTGAAACAGATCCGGCCATTTGGATAACACTGACATCTCATGAACTGCATAGACAGTCAAGGGCAAAACTGCCTGGCTCAGTTGATAGACTGTATTCCTTGCATCCATGAAGACTTGGATTTCACCTTCATCACTGCATGAAGTGAGTGTGATAATGAATGCATACAGTCTCAAGGCCCTGAAGGTGATTCTTGACTATATCAGGATCAGATTCCAGTTACAGACATTTCCAAAGTATCTCAGGACAAGAAATATCTACCCTCACATATGTCCGTGTCATTGTGGTCCAGTGACTAAGGTACCCAAGGTGTGTTGTCATCCTGATAGACAAGCAGGTTCAAAGCAACCTAAAACTTCAACAGATGTCCTTTGTTCTTTCTCTCTTGGTGTGAAGGTCTCATGAAACCTGACCTACCCTGTATCACAGTGTAGCCAAGGATGCTTTTACACACTCCTGGCTCCTCTATCGGTGCTGAGTGCATAACCATGAATCACAACGATTATATTATATGCTTCTGGGCATTGAACTCAGGGCTTCATTTACACTGGGCAAGTTAACATTCCCTGACTCTGCCAAATCCCCAGCACCCATTTTTTTTGTTTTGTTTTGACTTTCTTTGTTTTTAGGAAACATGATATCATTATGTAGTGCAGGCTGGACTTGAACTTCTGATTCTCCTGCTTCCACATCCCAGCACTTGGAATGCAAATGTGTGCCAATGTGTCAAAAATATTTGGGGTTTTGCTCTGCCACCCAGACTGACTGTGAATTTATGATCTTTTCTCTTGAGTAACTAAGGTTATAGACTTAGGCCATGTGATCTTATGATTTTGTTATTGTTGCTGTTGGTGGTGTTCATATTGTGTGTAAAAATCTGATGTATATTTTTGCAGAGATAAAATTTTAATTTGTATCATAATTTTACTTCCAAAATTTTTGAATTATGTAGAAAATGACTTATGTATCTCTGCTATTTCAAGCATATATAAAACTTTCAAGTTTGAATTTGATTCTCCATACCACATTTTAAATTGGTTTGTTTATCTGTCTTAGACAAGTTCTCCCCATGTATCCCAGGCTTATCTTGAACTCATAAAGCTATTCTCACTGGCTCCTAATGCTGGTATTACAGACGTGAGCCATTATATCTGGCACATTTCATGTCTGGAAAGTGCTTTCCTATTGCACAAAGTAGTTTTAATTCACTGTCTAACGTTCAGCAACACCCCAATCTCTCTTTTCCCCCTCTCTTTCTCTCCCCCCTTTGTATATTAATAAGGGAAGGTGACATACCTTCTCAAAGTGTGAATTGTCAGCTACTGCATGGAACACACCTATGTCTCCCACCAGGAATCCTGGGTTGAAAAAAATGGCCCATGTTCAGGGTCAGATCACCCAGCTGGGCAAGAACAAAGGTCTGGTTTCAGTCCAGTCTACGGTGGCACCAATCCAATGTCAGGAGAGTGCAGGTCCTGTGTCTGAAATCTGCATGCCTTTCTTCCCTTCCTCTTTGGTCACTGGAATGTAACTCTGCTATTTAGGTCATGTCCTGGATGTAGCCAGGCACTGGATAAAAATAGAAAGTGCTCTCTCTCTCTCTCTCTCTCTCTCTCTCTCTCTCTCTCTCTCTCTCTCTGTGTGTGTGTGTGTGTGTGTGTGTGTGTGTGTGTTTCTCTCTCTATTTAGTAAAGAGATGTGAAGTCTTGTTTCAAAAAGAGAGAGAGAGAGGTCCAAGGATAGGCCGGTGCTTCTCATTTCAGTGATTGGGTGGCTGAGATTAAGCATCAGTCCTTGCCTGGATAACTTAACAGACCCTATCCCCAGATTAAAATTTTCTAAAGGGTTGATGATGTACCACAATGGTAGAGCACTTGCCTGGCCTCTTCCAGTTGTGGATGGATGATCCTGGATGTGCCTTAGGGTTAGGGCACTTTCCAAGCAGGTCTGAGGTCCTAGGTTCCATCTCCATGCAGAGGAGAGAGATGATGTATAGAAGGAGAAGGAGGGACAAATAGATTAATCACAGAGAAGGTGACACAGAGATATAGAGAGAAACAGGGAAAAAAGGTAGAATCCTTGAGTCTGGGAGAAAAAGAAGAAAAGAGTAAATTAAGGCCAGAGGCTCAGGGACTCAGAGAGAGTGTTGGGAATACTGCTCAGTCCCTACAACTGAGAGAATCCACTGGGCTATGTTAGTTCACCTCAACTAGATTTGGGATCATATCAACCTACCCCTGGGGGTGCCTTCTTGAGAGAACTACAGATATTTAATTGAATAGGGAATCCCTACCCTGTATATGAGTACCATCCTTGTGTGGTTCCCAATCAAAAGAGAAAGAATGCATGTTGAATACAAGTACACATCTACCTCTGGTTCAAGAGCATGGATACAGTGTGACCTACAGTGTAACCTCTGACATACTCCTGTCCCAACACCTTCCATGTCATCATGGATGGTACCTTCAAAACAATCCCTTTCTCTTCCTGTTGACCCTTGTCACACTTATTGTCACAGCAATGGACCAACCATTCCTCCTGAAAATTTGTATTCTTCATTGTCATTGTGATACACCTGACCATATGGTTCTTGGGTCTTTGGAGCTGATTTATGGGAAGAGCATGGAATTATAAAGAATCCCAAAAGTGGCCTGTATTTGGGTGCTCTGGTGGGAATTTGGAAAACCAGACTAGTAAAAGAAAGGGAAACAATAGTGAGAGTCTAAGGGAGCAAGGCTAAGAGCTATTCAAATAGACTAGAGAAATCTGATTTGCTCTCTCTGTGCCCTGAGAACTTGAGTGAAACTGGATTCAAAAAGAATGGACTCCAGGCCCTAACTGTGGCTGAGGGTCATGTCTGGGTCTGCGTCCTATGACAGACAGAGTCAGTGTTGATGTTTGTGGCCCGTGTTACCATCAAGGGCCATGGATGACTTGGATACTGGAGAACTGGTTCTACCTCTTGCAGGCCAAACCATTAGAAGAGGCACTCCTCCATGAAAAACTGGGTCAAATGGCATGGGCGCTGAAGAGTTGGTCCTGACCATCCATGACGCTAGGAGAAATGTCCCTCCCTTCCCTGCTTCCACAATGGGAGAGCTGGTTCCACACTCAGTAGAGCTGCTCTCACCCCTCACCATGAGTGCAGGAGAGCTGGCCCTGACCCTCTGCTAAAGGGGTCAGTCCCAGTGGAGGTCCAGGCTGACCAACTCAGCTACCACCCTGACCCACATCTGGGGCTCTGAGTTGCCGTACCCCAATGTCTACCCCATCTAGGACCTGCTGGAGCACATGAAGAGTCTGGTCCTGTGGAACCATAGATGCAAGATCTCCATGACTTGAGGCAATAGCAGGATATCAGAGAGGTTTCACTGAGGGTTCAGTATTGATGCTGCACCAGAAGCCAGAGGCCTTAAACCAGACCAACAACTCATTGCAGTAAACACTCACAAGTGAAGCTGTGTGGTATCCTGCGAGACACACAGGAGCTCCCAAGGCCATGAGGACAAATGAATATGTGATGGAGAAGACAGAAAGATGGAAACGTAAAATGTTTTTCTTCTGTTTGGGGGGATGGGGAAGCTACAAGGATGGTGAATAGACATGAAAGGACTGGGAAGTGAGTGGGATGGGGGGGCATGGTATGAAATTTCCAAGGGATCAATAAAAGGAATTATGTTGAGAAAGAAAAAAGAACAGACTCATTTATTTGGTGAAGCAGTAGAGCAGTGGCGTGGTTACCGCCCACGGCTCTGATTCAAGTCCACAGGCATAAGGAGCCAAAGTGGAGCAGAAAGATAGGGGAACTCTGCAATTTTCCAGAAGAAAACTAAAAGAAGCACGAGAGAGTTCGAAGTTGCAGACAATGTGGGTTCAGAGGAGGCAGCTATGCTCGTTAAGGTAATTGCCAGCATTGAGGACAAACTTGTGTGGAGAACCAGTCTGCTGCCGTCTTAGGCTTACAAGGCACCTCATAGCAAATACAAACTAGCTTCATTCCTGTTTATGCTTAAACCTCTGTTTCTCAGGGATTCAGCCATATCCCACTGTAGCTTTAACTACAAACGGTTCTGTACTCCCTGTTCCTGGAATATCAATCATTTATTTGTTTCAAAATGTTTTATAACTGCCTTGCAACCTACCTTTGTTTCAAAAGGTTATAAGACCCTCGTGATAAACTTATTAAGACCACCTGTTGAGATGCTTTGTTTTGACCACCTGTTATGTTCTACTCCTAGAGCCCTATTTTCCCTCCATCCCAGAGTTCTGTAAAAGTCTTGTTTCTCAGGTCCAATACTGGATTAGGGTGAAGCAGCCTGTGTACATGAATAAAAAGCTTGCATTAATTCATTTCGCCATGATGGTTTTGTCAGTGGTCTTTCTCCTCCCATCTTAGGGATTAACAGTGCTCTGCACTGGGACAATAGAAAAGCTGCCCTGAAGGCAAGACTTTGCCCACTGTAGGCTTGGGTTTGTGAAATGCAAGGTTCCTTTCTAAAACAAAATGTCACCTAGTAAGTGTTACACCAGGGTCAGAAAGCAGTGGCCAACTGTTCTTCAGGCCACAAACACTGTGGTCCAGGGAGCAAGGCATGGATTGATCTAGCATTAGAACCTGGCCACAGCATCATGTGGCACTGGTTTGGCAGATGTGAAAGATACAAGAGTGATGGAATCCTGGAGGCCTCCACCCAAGTTCCAGAAAACTGCTGAGATCCAGCACCATCTAGTATGGTTGGATTCCCTTTATGAGTCCCTGCCTCATACGCTACTACATGAAACAGGGGAAGTGAAGCCTAAGTTGAAATGGAGACCCCCAAAATGCTGGAGATGTTGGAATGACAGGATGTCCACTGAGGAAAATGAAAATAAAATTGAAACGTTTGCCCTGGCAATGCTGAAGCATGTATGGACAGCCTATATATGGCGGTTCTGTTGAACTAGTCATACCAGGTTTCATGGTCTAAGTTGATGAGAATGACTGATGAGGTCTCTTCCTCAAGAGGGCACCAGATCTCATTACAGATGGTTGTGAGCCACCATGTGGTTGCTGAGAATTGAACATAGGACCTTTGGAAGGGCAGGCAGTCAACCCAAGAGAAAAGTCACGATGCTGAGGTGACAGAGCTGGAGTGACAAGGCTGTCCCAGACCACTGAAGCCCAGGTGATTCCATCACCCTTCCCAGGTGCTGAATCTACAATTTCAGAATATGGAGTGGGGAGGGGTCCTGTGGTTATGGAGGCATTTTCTCAATTGAACCTCCCTCTACCCAAATTACTCTAGCTTGTATCAAGTTCACATAAAAGCAGCCAGCATAGGGACACAGCAAGAAGAAATCAACTGAGAGAAAGACCCATACCCAGCAGAATCAAAACTGGACACAACTCACCAGATTTCATGATGTATATCTTATCCCAGCTACTTGGGGAATG